AAATTAAAAATTTGCGCATATTTAATGAAGGTATAACTGGATATGTAAAAAATAGAGGGATACAAGACATTCCTTAAGTATTTAGATCACTAAAAAAGAATGAGGAGTGGGCAAGGTAATTGCTTACATGAATTCAAAAAGTAATTTCTTTCAGACAGTTAAGAGATCCTGAAAAGCTTGAATCTATATACTTAAGTGCATTTTTTAAAAAAATGAATTTCTTTTTAAAAGTGATAAACCACTGCTTTCAAGCTATTTGTGCAAATTAAAAACAGTATTTGCTTCTGTAGTACATGGGTCTAAAAATGCATCAAAGGTTATGCTAGTGAAGCATTAAAACATAGTCCTGATAACTATGCTTCCCTATCTAAGAGATATACTATAGTCAATATGTAGAAAAAAGAAGAACCATATAATTAGATAGAACCATTTTGCATCTTTGATGAAAACTAATCACATATAACTGTTAAACAACATTTATTAAATTTTATTTTTTCATTCACCTAAGATCTAATATATATAAAATATCACAAAAATGATAATTGATCAAAATTATTCATCCGATAGTATACATAGTGAGCAGGAAGTTATCAGATATACAGAAAATATAACCAAGTTATTAAGGCTAGATGAGCAAAATGCAGAAGCATATAAAGCACTTTCTAGACAGATTTGGAGGCTTAAGAAATAATTAGAAAATTATCATTTCGAATGTATAAAGCTTAAAAAGAGTGTCAATTCATTAGAAGTTGAAATAGAAGATCTGAACGAATGTGTAGATAAGGAAACTGTGATCGACTTAATATATAAAATAGTTCTTTCGCTAATTAGTAAAAAAGGTAAGAATTCCTCTTATTCATCTGAGTCTTCTGAAAATTCTAATTCAATTAAGATAATTGAGATAAGAGAAAAAAAAGCTGTCCCTCATAAGCAACGAAGAAGAATGCGACCAAAGAAAGTTAAGCAGTTAGTAGTTTGAAATAGGCTGAGCTAGCCCAATCCAGTTATCACTCTATACTATAGCTAACTTTATTTTTTGATTGAAATATTCTAATCATATATAAAAATATATACAGTTAATTTGCTTGATCAGTTTGCGTCAGAATTAATACTATTTTTAAAGGATCTTTTAAACTAGGATTTAAAAATTTTTTGCAATATAAATGATACATTGGCAAAGGAAATAGGTCTTGAATTATCCAAAAGAAAGACACTTTTCAATTTTTAAACTATGTCATTAGTTCAAGGTGAAAATATAGTAAAGGATTTCTATTTGAAGCTGAAAGAATATAACAAGAGTTTTGGTTATGATGAACTATTTCTTAAATGTGCATTATTAAAAGAATTATTAAACGAAAATAGGATAAAAGTTCTTATAGATGGTTTACAAGCACTTGCGTTAGATGAGATACTAGAAAGACTTAACCTAGAGTAGTGATCGTATAATTTTATTTTTTCGTTTAAAGATATAATATATAATACAGTATATATTCATTTATGATATAATCAAGCATCTTTTATTTACCAGAACTATTAAAACAGATTTTACATTTATTAGTAATAGATAAATCCCTCTATTCCACTTTATTTGTTGGCCAATTGTAATACAGATGCGGTGCTCCTATTCTATGGAGGCGTATTGAGCTAGAGTGAATATAATACTCTTAATTGAAAAAATTTATAAAAATGACACGAAGAAAACAAAAGTCAGTTTATAGCTCAAATCTAACTTATCTAGAAATTTTAAACTACCATCCACTTTCAGATAAAAAATTCAATGACATTGCGCACAAATTCCCAAATATAATTTATTTAGATTTAAAATTTAGCATAGGATTTAGTGATAAAACACTAAAATGAATAGTAGAATTATACCCCAATCTAAAGTATCTTAATTTGCAAAAGGATGAGTATATATCCTGTAATATGAGTATAATAACTGGTAAAGGTTTATATGCAATTACCCAATCATGTCATAAATTAGAATATCTAAATATTTCTCACTGCACAGATATTTGTGAACTATCAATTTATAATGTTATTCGTTCTTGTCTAAGGTTCCAATAACTTGACCTCAATTTTTGTGAAATTACTGATATAATAATTGAAGAGATTGCTAATTCGTATCTTAATTTAAAATATTTTAATCTGGAAGGGTATTATAAAATTAGCAAAGAAACTGTAGATCAGCTAAATCCAAATATCTATGTAGAAAATTTTGTGAAAACTTTAATGCCTCCTGATCTCATTAAGATGGTTAAAAATTTCCTCATTAAACAATATTGCTAGTAGACAGATTTTAGCTCAGAACCTTCAGAGACTTTTAAATCAAAACTTGTGGTAGTATACTGATCCAGGGTTGACTAGATCAATAGTCTAAAGTAGGATTATTTCAGCTATAGCTAATTTTTTTTCATTTAAGATACAGCATATATTATTTATAATGTATTCACATATTTTTATTATACCAAAACTATTAGAACAGATTTTACATTTTTTAGCAATAGATAAGTCGCTTTATCCCATCTTATTTATTAACTGATTTTATTATAAATATGCTATTTCTAGCTTATGAAAATATATCAAACTAAAGGGGAATGACCTGAGATATAAACATTATTTTCCAAATAAATATACTTATAGTGAGAGAAATTGTACTCAATGAGAAATATTTGTAAAAATAATGTGTAAAAAGAATAAGCCAGTTTATATTTTGAATACAACCTATCTAGAAATTACTTATTGCCATTCACTTTCAAATAAAAAAATAAAAAGTATTGTGAATACATTTTCAAATATAATTCATTTAGATTTCAAAAATAGTATAGGTTTTAGTGATAGATCACTATTTATAATAGTAGAATCATATCTTAATTTAAGATATTTTAATTTGTGAGATGCTCAAGCAATAATTGATAAAGGGTTATGTACAATTATACAATCATGCTGTAAATTAGAATATTTAAATATTTTTTACTGCAGAAATATTACTGATAAATCTTTATTTGAAATTGCAGAAAATTAATATGATTTACAAGTGTTTCACTTTGCTAAAGCATAGCAGATTACAGATAAATCTATAAGTTGCATCTTAAACTCATGCCTAAATTTATGAAAACTTGATATTGTATATAGTAAAGGAGATATCAAAAATGCTAATACTTTAATGCAGAGATGCTTTAATATAGAGTATCTCAACTTTTATGATGCTATAGCTTTGTGGGATGATAGATTAATTATAGTTATCATCAAAAGATCTCTGAATTTAAGACATATAGAGATCAGTTATAATAATATCACTGATAAGATTACTAAAGTACTGGCTTATACTTATTATAAATTAGAATATCTTTATCTGAGTTGCTATGATTTTGTTAGTGAACCATCAATTTGTAATGTTATACATTCCTGTCCAAAGCTTTAACATCTTAACCTTAGTCACTGTAATATTACCAATACAACTATTAAAGTAATTACTCACTCATGTCTTAATTTAAAAATTTTAGATTTAAAAGGATGTGAAAATATTAGCAAAAAAGCCATAGACCAGTTAAATCCAAATATTCATATCAAAAATTTTGATGAAGTTTACTATTCTGATTCAGAATCTTTTAGCTCTGAAATTGAATCAGAGTGCTAATCTTTAACTCAAAAGATATTACATTTTTTTTGATTATCTCTAGCAGATTTACCATTAAACGCATATAGGAAAAACTTTTCGCAATATTCTTTTTAGAGATTACTAGTCAATTAAGCAGAATAGTTGTACTCTATCGATCTAATTAATCTGAAGTGGTAATCATTAGCTCAGAAGATTTTTTGCTAAGCCTCACGTGTACTCCTATATAATAAAAAAAATATAGATTAGCTAATCTATTCTAAACACGAACACTAGCTGAATTTTTACATAATTGAAATAATGATAGTTACTTTCCAATAAAATAAACATTTCTACTCCTATAGATGAATTTCTGTATTAACATACCTGGACTATTTTCTGCCAAAGGTACTAAAGGTAAGAAACTGTCAAAAGTTTTGAAGATATGCTCTTGCATTTTTATTGACTTCTTCTAATCCACTTATTTTCTGATTAGAATGACTAACAATACCAAGAACATTTTGAATCATGCTTATATCCTCTTTCAAATATAAAAGTAAATGATATAATATCTTAAATGATCTTTTTCTATATATTTCTCTCTCAAGATCATGTATATTATTATATAATATAGTAAAAACTAGATGATAATCCATATCAAGATTACCTTGTATATCTATTAATTCCTTTACTAAATCAAATAACAGCCCAAATAAATCTTCAAGTGTTTTTTCTTTTTTGCTTTGATTCAATGCTGTTTGATTTCTACTCTCAATAGATCTCTTTTCCAGGTTTGAAAATATACTGAGTTTTTTTTAAATAACTATTATATCTTTCTTCTTATATAAAAGCTTATCATATAATTGAGCATTGACTTGATTAGAATTATTATTAGTATTGCTTATCATGATTGTATTTACCTTTGGTTAGCATATATTCAAATTTGTGTTTGAAATACTGATCATCAACCAGAGCAGTGATCACCAGTTCAGAAATTTTTTACTAGGCCACTTCTGTGTGACAAAAAATAAGTAGATTATCAATTAGGTCTTGTATGACATATTAATTTTTGCATATAATGAAAAGAAAATAACTAGTACTTTATTTTTTTCCCTGAACAACATGAGAAAAATGTGAAAGAAGGTCTATACGCAACACATGACCTACTGTAAAAATAAATATTAACATCAAAAACATATGTTATGAAAGGCTGGTGTTTTACAATTCTGAGATCTACACAGGTTAATCAACTTTGATCTTGCGTAAAGATCGCTATACTAAAAGGAATATAATTTTTCCTATATAATTAACTGCAGTAATTGATAGATAGTTTTGACATTTATTAATTAAATAAGGCTAGAAGAAATTGAATTTGTTAGCTTATAAATACTTATGTGAAAGTATGGGCTTCCCTATGTATAAAGAAGTAGACGACATTATTACTCTCAATGGTATCATTAAGGAATTAGATTCCAAAAGTTATTTCAGAGTCTCTGTCGATAAAGATGAAGATGTTTATGATTTTAAAATGAAAATACTAGAAGAGCAAGTAAAGTATTTTCAGGTCTTTGATGCTATGAATCTTAAAGTATAGTCAGTGCAGATCACCAGAGATAGTACAAAGCTTAACGATATTAAAGATGAGTCTGCATCTATCAAAAGTATTTTGGTAGGAAAAGAAGCTAGATCAATAGATAAAATTACATTTCATTTTCAAAATTTAGATGAAAATCATGTACATTTTGTCGTCTGAGATGAAAAATTTTAGGACTTAGCTGGTTGTATCAGTCACGTTGAAATGCTAATATTTTATTCATGTCAATAGGTATAGAAAATTAGTATTCAGTATGTCTCAGAGAATTTGCGAACAATGATGTCTTTTGAGATCATATGATTTACTTACAATACCACTTCAATTCTAAATCAGACAAGATGTCATGGAAGAATGAAATTAGAAAAATTGAGATTGATAATAAGAAAAAGCAGGTATACAAAAAAATAATACCTGTAGAAAAGCCTAGAAAATCTAGAATTAGTAAATATATGTGATATTTAGGTAAAGATGCAGATACTAGTTATCAAGAAATGTTTAACCCTTAATACATAGTTTTGCTGTAATATGTGTATATTAGCATATTGGATATTATCACCACATCTTTTATATTTCTTTTTTCTCATGTATTAATAAAGTACTGTGAATGTATCTTGAAAAAAAAAATAATTTCAGATAAATAGTTTCAAGTTTATAATTAGCTTCCAGTAAGAGAATTTTAGTTCAGAGTAGTGATCATCAGCTTAGAAAATTTCGCTGAGCCACAAATTTTGTGATAAAATAAATGATCATATAGAAGTGTTTCTAGGAAAATCAGGTTCTGAGAAATTTAAATTTCAATTTCGCTAAAAAATTCCTGGAACCTGATTTTTCTAATAATCAACCCATATAATAAGTCTATAAAATATTATTTTTCGCATTGTCACCAGGTTCATTTTCATTTATCTTAATATCTAAGTTGAGTGACTGTGGTAGTTGATTCTACACATTGGAGTTTCTAACCTTAGGATTTTTTCTAAGTCCTATAGATATCCGTTATACTTGAATCAACTTAGCAATTTATTATATCTTAGAATTTAAGATATATTTAATTGAACTCATAATAATGAATTCAATAGCAAGTTAGTGTAAGGTATCACAACAATCCTAAATAAGGGATAATGTTAAAGGGAAAAGTAGTTTATATGGATTTAAATTGATTCCTTTATTTATAACTTAAAACTTGCAAAAGAGTTAATTTACAACTTAGAAAAAAAGCTATTCTATTTATACAAAATTAATTTGCTACAGTTAACTACTTATTACGCTATAAATTAATTAAATATAGATATATGTTTTAATAAAAATATACTTAAATATAATAAAATAATAAAAATAATATAAACTATAAAAATAATAAAAAAAATAAAATAAATTACAGATGTTAAGGAAATTACAGGTAAAACAGAGTAAACAGAATAAACAGACTGTACAGAAAATACAAAAAAAAAAACAGACAAATCAGATAAATTTTATAAATTATTCAAATTAAATAAATTAGCCTGATTTTTCAATACAATATATCGATCAAGATCTTCCTTAATATGATTTACATAAAATTAAATCCAATAATTTTGTAAATCATTTTTCTAGGGTAAATTTTCAACGTCAATAGCATATATCAAAAGTTATATATATTAACTAATATCTTTATTTTTTTCCCAAAAAAATGTGAAAAAATGTGAAAGGAGATCTATATGCAATACAGTACCTATTGTGAACAGGTAAATATGACGTAGCTATATAGCGCAAGAGGATGATCAATTTATATAGATGATATATCTGATATATGTAACACATCAGACATGATCGACATAAACGACATATTAAACATAACAGATATATGTGATATAACTGACATGTTAGACATGTCAGACATATATGATATAACTGACATATTAGATATGTCAGACATATATGATATAACTGACATATTAGACATAGCTGACATATTAGATATATTAGTTATATCTTTCTATGTAATATATTTTATAT